AATTCTGTTTCTCTGAAATATTTAGCAAAAAGCTAGCACTGACACAATCATAGATTTCCACAGATAGGTCTGTTCATAAATTGTAACTGGTATTCACTGAAAAGCCAATGACTCCTGTTCCCAACATTTACAAGTCTCTGGATTTTCTTCAACTGGCCTCTTCCCCTCAGCTCTTACAGACTATTGTTTTAAAACTCCTACCATTTAAAAGTTAAACTCCGTCAGTTTTTAGGGATATGGGATTTCAATTTTTACTCTAAAGGAGTTAGGAAGTCAAAGGAGTATGAGTAGGCAGAGAAGAGTATCAGAAAAAAGTTAGCCTTAACATTTGGAGTCTGGATGTATTATGAATCATTGGTAAAAATGATTATTTACGTGATGGGCTTAGACCTCTCTGTAAGGCCAAATTCTGTTACTTGAAAATATACTCTGGAGTGGTGTACCTAATTTTGTTAACAGATGCCATTCTAAAATACTTTCCCAGATATATCATTTTTCAAAAGTCACTCTAAGTATGTATTAGGAAAATAAAGGTTTGGGTTGGCTAAAATGGTACCCAGTGGAATGGGTTGTCACTCTAAGGATTTCAACTGCAAGTCATATACTTAGAATACTCCAGACTGTCCAAGGGCTTCTTTTGAGGAACCTGGGGGCATAGATCAAAGTTCGAGGACTGGTTTACATATCTCTCTCTCCAGCTTTCAAATCTATAGGCTGCTGAAATAGAAGCACTAGAGCCATTGGCAGAAAGCCTCAAAAAAAACACACCTTTTTTTGGCTCCCGCTCCACTCGCAATCAACATAGCAGAGACTACTTCCGCCCCAGATGTGATGGAATGAGTGGGGCGCAGAGTCGGGGGAGGCTTCTCCGCACACCAAGCAAGCAATCACTCCCACAGCAGACATCAGCTGGATGCCCAAAATTTCAATTTAATTCTGACAACACTTAACTGGAAATAGCATCAGATCCCACAGGTTGAAAGCTCAGTCCCAAAGGACTGCCGCCTATTTCAGATGCCTGTCAGAAAAACAGGTTGTGGCCTGGTATAAATGGGGGTTCCCGCTTTTCTGGGGACGTCGTGTGCAGGCACTCAAAATGGTCCAGCGTTTGACATACCGACATAAGATTTCCTACACTACAGCCTCTAACAAACTAGGCTGTCCCGGACCCCTGGTAATAGAATTGTTTACTTTTATACCAACAAGGTTGGGAAAGCACCAAAATCAGCATGTGGCATGTGCCCAGGCAGGCCTGGAGGGGTTCGCGCTGTAAGTCCTAAAGTTCTAATGAGATGATCCAACACACCAAAAAAACATGTCAGCAGGGCCTATGAGTGGTTCCATCTGTACTAAATGTGTTCGTGACAGGATCAAGTGTGCTTTCCTTATCGAGGAGCAGAAAATCGTTGTGAAAGTGTTAAAGGCGCAAGCACAGAGTCAGAAAGCTAAATAAAAAATGAAACTTTTTTGAGTAATAAAAATGAAAAGACTTGCTGTAAAAAATAAATAAATAAAAATAAATGGGGGTTCCCATGAACCTCCTCCTTGGGATTTACTGATTTGCTTCAGAGGCTCACAGAGCTCAGGGAAACACTTATGCACATGTTATAAATCAGATTACAAAGGATACAGACAAATAACCAGATAAAAGATTCGCAGGGCAAGGCATGTGGTACGGCAGGGGTCCCTGACCCTCCGGCAGCAAACAGGTACCAGTCAGTGGCCTGTTAGGAACTGTACTGCACAGTAGGAAGTAAGAGGTGGGTGAGCAAGTATTACAGCCTGAGCTCTGCCTCCTGTCAGATCAGCTAGCATTAGATTCTCATAGGAGTGGGGACCCTATTTGTGAACTATGCATCTGAGGGATCTAGGTTGCATGTTCCTATGGGAATCTAATGCCTGATGATCTGAAGTGGAACGTTTTCATAACCAAACCATCCCCGATCCCCTCATATGTCTTCCACAAAACTGGTCCCTGGTGTCCACAAGGTTAAGGACTGCTGTGTAAGGCACAGAGCATCCCTGTCCTCTCTAGGGCACCATACTCCAGGAACCTCTGCACGTTTAGCTAACTGGAAGTTCCCAGAACCTGTCTAAGTTTTTATGAAGGCCTCATTACCTAGGCATGACTGATTACATCATTGGCAATAGGTGAGTGGCTCAATCTTTAGGCCTTCTCCTCTCCTGGCTGTTGGTTGGTGGAGCTGAAAGTTAGTTCCCACCCTTCTAATTATGCCTTGATCTTTCATGTGACCATTCTGAAGCTATCTGGGAGTCCCCAGCCATCAGTTGGCTCATTAGCATGCAAAGAGACATTCCTATCACTCAGGAGATTCCAAGAATTTTAGAAGCTGTGGATCAGGAAATCTATTACTATAAAGCACCTTATAATGCCATCATTTTTTCTCCCAAAGGCACCAGCCTGATTACTTTCTGAAATTAAAACATCTGCCAGCTTCTATAGTGTAAGTCAATGCTTTTCTAGTTTTCCGAGAGTTTGAAAACTCAAATCCTAGCTAAAACCTGTATCACTTTTAAATTGAAAGATTTAAAGAGAATAAACATTTAACCCCCAATGACTAGAAGTCATTTAAAATATGTAGTCTTTGGATTATTTTATCTGCTCAAAGACTCTTCAAAAGTAGATGAAAACAGTGCCCAGACATATATTATAAACCCCAGCTTCAATTTCACAGCCCAAACATGAAATCTCTTCTCATTGTTTGAAATCTGAAACTCATTTCAAAGACTGCCTAGAAAAGTTTTAATAAATGGATTAGTCTTGACTTTTCCTTACATATGAGGCAATATTGTTACAGGTGAATCTCCGATAAGCAAGAAGCCATCCCTGTGTAATAGGATCTTGATTGCCACACTCCCAAACTCTTCCCTGAAGTCCTATTCATTGCCCTCAGAAAGGAATCCAAAGTAATGATAAAAAATATAAAAAGTAGACAGTTCTCAACTTAAAAAAAAATCATATGCTGAGGTTGCTAAAATCTACGATAAGAATGAATCTTCTATCCTTAAAATTGTGAATAGTATATCATACTTTTTGTTTCATTATTATTGTTGTTAATCTCTTACTGCACCTAATTTATACATTAAACTTTATCCTAAGCAGGTATGTATGTATATATAGGAGAAAACATCATGTATGTATATAAGGTTCAATGCTATCTGTGATTTTAGGTATTCACTGGAGGGGTCTCAAAACAAATTTCCTATGCTTCCATATCCTCCTGGGCATACCTTGGTCACAGCACCTAGCATGTCATACTTTAATGATTAGTTATTTGCCTGTCATTTCTACTTAGCCATAAGCTCCTTAAAGAACAGTATATCCAGCCATCAGAATGCCTAGCAGTGGTAGGTACTCAAAAACAGTTTAAAATAATGGGCAAGGAATTGAAGGAATGAGAAAAAGAAAACTGTCACGCAATAAAAAATATTAAAAGAAAAACAGAAAACTATCTAGAAAATTATCTCAGCATAATCTATTCATTTCAGATAAGATATCAGTCAGGTATATATGCTGCTCCAACAGAGTAAAAATAATTCTATATCAAAATTATTACAGATACATGAAAACTATATTTAGAAATAGTACTTCAGATCAGGCATGGTGGCTCACAGCTGTAAACCAAAAATTTTGGTAGGCTAAAGTGAGAAGACTGCTTGAGCTCAGGAGAGACCCCCATCTCTAAAAAAACAAATTTTAGTAATTTAAGGCCAGGTGCAGTGGCTCATGCCAGCTACTGAAGAGGCTGAGGTGGGAATATCGCTTGAGCCTGGGAGGTTGAGGCTGCAGTGAGCTGTGATGACATCACTGCACTCCAGCCTGGGTGACAGAGCAAGACCTTGTCTCAAAAAGAAAAAAGTAATTAAAAATTACAAAATCAGATCCTGGTCAACATGGTGAAACCCCATCTCTACTAAAAATACAAAAAAGTAGCTGGGCATGGCGGCGCGTGCCTGTAATCCCAGCTACTCAGGAGGCTGAGGCAGGAGAATTGCCTGAGCCCAGGAGGCGGAGGTTGCAGTGAGCCGAGATCGCGCCATTGCACTCCAGCCTGGGTAACGAGAGCGAAACTCCGTCTCAAAAAAAAAAAAAAAAAAATTACAAAATCAGCATGCCTGCAGTCCTAGCTACTCAGGAGGCTGAGGTGGGAGGATAACAAACCCTGTCTCTTAACAAACAAACAAACAAACAAAAAACAGAAGAAAGAAAGAGTGTTTCAATCTATGGACAGGCCCTAAACAGAGATGCCTTTAGCCCATCTTTTTCCCTTTCCCTCACATCCCTGTCTCAGTCAAAAAGGTAAAAAAATAAAAAAAATAGAAAAAAATTCTTCCTTCTCAACCTGATTCCTAGTACTGTCCCCAGATGCTGTACAGGCATCAGCCTCCCAGAAATCACCGAGTGATTTTCTTCCCATGAAAAGTTCATGTCTCATGCCCTCAGAGTTTTGAACTGCAAATGAGTAAGCTAGGAGGAGAAATGGGTGCCCATGGGTTGGCACTTCCATTTTGGTATAGGGATCTTTTTCTAAGGCCATAGCTTTCTCAAAGCCCAGTGGGAAAAGACGTTTAAAAACAAACAAACAAACAAACAAAAAAACCCTTTCAGAAACCCTCAAGTCACTCCACTGGGGTGAACTCCCCTGTGACACCAGAGAGGTGATGAAGCTTGGTGGTTAGAGCAGTTTTCTGAGTCAGAAATCTCATCTTTTCCACTCTCTAGTCTTTGGAATATGAGTAACCTCACTGGTGCCCAAGTGTTCTATCTGTAAAACGAAATAAGAAGACTACCTCAAGGAACTTGCTGGGAAGACTAAATGGTTTAATACAGGTAAAGTACTCAGAAAGTACCTGGTAAGTAGTCAGTAATTGTCTGCTATTACTATTGTCATTTTTACTTTTATTAGAATTGGCTCAAAAAGAACCCAAAGAGGGCAATGCTCAAAGGGAAGAAAGGGACGAGAGAAGAGTACACTTACTGATTTGGTTGTTTAGCTTGAAGGCAATGTCCAGCTGCAGGATAAGCAGCATGAACTGGAACCAAGGACTCATCTCCATGGAGGGGAGGGGAATATGGACGGAAAATACAATGTCATTGGCTTCAATTTCCCTTGGAATTGCTTCTTCGATGTCTCGGATCTTGTCACACTGATTGGGTCCCCAAGGCATTAACCATTTTGTCTTGTGATGGTTCTTACGGGCGTCCACACATTTCACCGACATGTAGGACACTGCTGTTGTGGGCCCCGGAGCTGAAAAGAGAATGTTTGTCTGTTTTAGAAAAACCATCTACTGAAGAAACTGTTTCTGGTTAATATGCTTTCCATTACTGTGTTCCCTACGGTTTTTGTACTGCCTTCTACAACTGGGGCTCAGCAATACTTAGGGATCTTCCAAATCCAGGTGAGCATTTTTCAGTGACCTTCAGAGGTATCATAAAAGTATCCCTGAGAACCTTCCCATTGTGTTTTCAATTGCTGTGAAAGAATACATTTGTAACCAGTCTAGTTATACTTCAGCACTTCAAAACAATGTCACAAAAAAATCAGCTGTGCTACAGTTCCCACCTGATTGAGGTCTTGGAGGGCTCTGGTGCTTCAGAGAACAGTATCTAAAGTCAGAAGACCTTAGTCTTCAAAGCCGGATTTGAAGCCTGGTTAAACAACTTACTGTCAGTGAATTTTGGGTAAGTCAGTTAAATCTATAATAGCTTCAGGCCCCTCATCTGAGAAATTAAATGACTGGTTTCTAAGGTTCCTCTTGGCTCTAAAATGGTACGACACTGCCTTTGCTTAAGATGAAGAATGATGGGCCCCTGCTTAGCTTGGTACCTAGCAAAGAATGGGAACTCAAGCACTGACTGATACTTCAAAAGTATACTAAAATATAAACCATGCATTTCAAGACAGCAAAACAACTTTGAAATGTGTAACTTTAAAAACACTATGTTGTGATTATATAACGGTTATATAGTTATAATATTAATAATTTAGAAAATACAGAAATTTTAAGTTCAAAACAACATTCACCCAAAATCCCACTAGAGGGAAGTAACCACTGTTGAAAAAATATCAAAATATCATCTGTCTTTTCTATGACTGTGTAATTAGATAAAAAGTTTGCACATGAATTACATTGTGTAACTTTAAAATATACATAAATATTAACACATATTTATAAAATAGTTATATCATGCATAGTTTTATAGTCTTTTCTTTTCATTCACTTAGAGAAGTAGAGTAGTGTGTGATAACACTGGCTCTAGAGGCAACCTGTCAAATCCTGGCTTTCCCATTTTTAGTTGTGTCACCGTAAATCCATGCTAGGAAGTTTTGGGCAAATTACTAAGCCTATCTCTGTATCAGTTTTATCATCTCTTAGATGGCAATAATAATAGTACCAACCTTTCCAAATCACTGTATGTTTTAAACAAGTTAACATATTAAAGCGCTCAGAGTAGTGCTTGAGCAACAAAAAGCATAAGATATTAGCCATTCTATCATAAATATTTTCTTTATAATTAAAACCTTTCAATTAGTGGTTGCAAAATAGTCAGTCACACAATACACCAAAATTAACTCTGCCTTCATCAGTTTGTAAAGGCTATCTATAAATAAGAATAATCCTTTGCCTAATATGTTTTGTTGGAAATTTCTCCTAGCTTTTCCATCTGCTATCTAAATTTGTTTATGGAACATTTAAATATAGAAGTTCCAGATCTTATATAGAATCCCTCTTTTCCTTTATGTTTTTTTCCCTCATGCTTTTGTGCTTACAGAGACTGACCTTCTTGATCTCCAAATTCAATAGTCATCTATATTGACTTCTATTTATTTTTTGCAATTTCATTTTTTGTAATATTTAAATAGTTGATCCATCTGAAAACTGCTATAAGAGATTAGGTGAGGTTTTATTTTTCTTAAATATTTAAATTATGGTTTATTGAACAGACGTTCCCTTTTGTTGATTTATGATATCACTGTTACCTTATGTATATGAGCATATGTTTCTAAACATCTGCTCTTTTCCATGTATTAAACCGTGAATTCGTGAGTCAGCACAACATTGTTCTAAATTCTGTAAATTGATGATTTTTATCAATATCTGCTAGAGTAACTCTCTTCCCCAATCCATTTCAAATTTATATCTTTTTGCTAGAATATTGAAGATTGAATTAAATCTATACATAATAGATAATAATGAACGCGGACAGAATTAGAACCCTTCCCCAACCTTTAGTTTTCCCATCCAGGAACAGTACTTGCTTCTCCATTGTCTACAATCTGTTTTGAGATTTCTTTGAAAACTTTCATTGTTTTCTTTACGTGGGTCCTACTAGCATATTATATTTTAAAAAATATGTACCTATAAAACTTTGAAAGTTATTAGTTAAAACAAAATATCATAAATTATGATTTATGTGTGTGGTTTAAATATGTGTATTTCTGTGGATCTGAAACTCGGTATATTATGTTTGTAGATCTCTGGGCAGAAATTCTCTCTTATTTAATAGAGATCAGATAGTAATAGATGAACATGGAAAGCAAAAAAGAAAGTTATGTAAGAGGTAAAAATGTCTGTTATTAATATTCTGCCCTACTTCTAATGTTCGAATCCACATTATTTCTCTATTCTATTAAATATCTATTTTAATGATACATTTTTAGGAAAATGTTATGTTTGCAAGAAGTTGCAACAATGCCTGTTAAAACTTACCAGAAAAGTCAACACTACCAAGCTCTAGCTGAACATCCTTGATGTAGAACGCTGAACACTGCAATACAAGTTGCCACTAACCCCAGCTAGGGAAGTTTTTCTTTAAAACTCAAAACTGTATCACAAAGACTTTACATCTAATCCGTCCAAAATCAGACATCTGGCTTATTCTTAGAAATATGAGTCAATCAAACGTTGGTTATCCTGACTCAGCTAAATAGCCCACTGACATTAGAAAAGCCAAATGGCACATTTAACTGAATCCTTTTTAATGTGGTTGGAGAAATAAACAGTGAGACAAAAGTCATGAATTCTATTTTCAGCTAACCTACTCAGACTGACTATTTGCTGCAGAAAATAGTTACTACATTTTAAAACTTCTATTCTTCCAAAATGAACCTAACTTTTTTTTTTTTTTTTTTTAACCTTTTCGAAAAACAAGTCTCTCACTTCTCAGACCAAAATGAAAAATAACTAGCTGAGTTCCTCAGCTAAGCTCCAAAACCACATTCCAAACTTAATAACAGAGAAGCTGAACACTTTACGGGCACAAAGGCTGCATTTTTAATGAATGCAGTGAACGCCTGCCTTTCTAGGGGCCTGCATTATTTTTATTCTTTCATTAGTCTAGTGTTTCTTCCATAAAGAAAAAAAAATCCCAGAAATACTAATATTTTCATAAATATCATAGCAGCGAACTTGGAGAAGCGTTAAGTGTATCTCAGGCTATACTGTGAGAATCACAATTTTTTTCACTTAAATAAATTAGTCTTCCAGTCTCAAAAATGTTTTGTATAACTTTGAAACCTGAACATCATTCAATATTTTCCATTTTTCTAATGGTGTTCAAAAGAGAAAACATGTGTCTTGCTTGAGAAAGTAAACAGACATCCTGATATTCAAACACAGACAGTTAATGTTTCTCCAATAATATCTTTACAGCTCAGTGCAATGTTCTACTCCAGCTAAACATGAATTCCTAAGTGTTTCTTTACGTATACGGCATTATCAAGTAAACCAAAAGCAAAGCTTATAGCTGGTAGCTGGTCACCTATCATAGAAGCTGTTTTCGTTACCTACAGCCAATATTATAACTACATGTGTCATAAATTGTGTCTAGAATCAAAATAAGTTCGATCTGTCTTTAATTTTTTTTTTTTTTAATGTGAAAGATTGTTTTAAGAGAAAAGAGCTAAATGGAGGAACTTTAAATTCAACCTTTGAACAAGTCACAATAAACTAACAAGTATTTGTGATGAAGGCCTTACTTAGTCATTTGTGTGGTTCTAGGGATTAACAGAGTTTGTGTATTCAAGAGGGGGCTGGATAGATTCAGGTCAACAAACTGAGTCATGTTTGCTCAGGTGAAAGCTAAAAATAAGCACTCCCCAGTATTCCTAGGCTAGTAATGCAATATTACCCAGCTGCCTCAGCACACATTATAAACGTCCCCTCCACCCAACCATAGTATAAGGTTTAATTGAAAACAAGTGAGCCAAATCTACTTCTACACCAGACCAATTCAATGAACAGAGCAATTTGGCCAAAACTGAATATGCCTAGTCACTATCAACTGGTTAAGATAGCCTTGAGAATATGCACAGAAGTTATAAAACCAGGAGCTGTTCGTTGAAAATGCAGTCTATTTTGAATTCAGTTCTTTTTTATCAAACATGTCCATTTTATTTTGTCTGTATTTCCATACAATATTTTTGGCCTCCACTTTTCCACTATAGTACACAAATTGTGAAATGCAATTCTACACAACACTTAATGTTAAAGTGATAGGAAATCAAGAAGAGTTTTAACAAACTGAAGGTTGCAAACAAATGCACAAACACAGCTTGAAGTCTCTTTAAAAATTCAATGGTCCCTCAGTTTCACACGTTACTATGGCTCACAATATATTGTCCAAATTTGTCTTGAATACCTACTATGTACTAGACAGCGCTGGTGCTGCAGCAAACCTACCAGGTGCCAACCATTTGAACATACAAATAATGGCGGAAGCAGACAACAAATCATTACAGGAAAAAATAATTTTGATGAATGCTATATGTAACCTGACGTTCCCTGAGAAAGGGCAACAGTCAGATACTTGGGAGATAGGAGAAATGAATACACTTGAATGAGAGGAAAAATTCAGTCATTGTTACAACGTAACCTGGAATAAAAATGTAAGTGAACAATGACTAAACCTGTAGTATTGCTTTTGGAAGAATATTCATTGACTCCCATCAGCTTCCTGTTATTTCACTTCAAATGGGTATCCAGTTTACAAATTACTATCTAGCCAACCACTAGCATTTATCATGCTCAAAGTTGAGTCAACATGAAATCATTAGCCCCTACTCCTTCCAGAACCTGTAATTGAAGAGTTGGAGAGTGATATAAGACTTGGTAGCCTCTTGGAAAAGTTAAAATAAAACTAAAACAACATGCTGACCTGACACATGGTCTCATTTTAGCCAACAGAGACTATTTCTTTGCTTTATTACAAGCAATGAAGATTCCTTTAGCAATCACCTAGGAGCAT